GGAGCCGATTCGCGCAAGCATGTATCCCCGCCTTCGAGGGGAGATACCTAGCATAGTACCGCTGAATGAGCATTCGGGGAGCTCAGGAAGCACTTGGACCGCATTCGGGGACCAAGATGACCAGGATAGTGATAGCTCTGATGAAGAAGAGGAAAGCCCATCGGGCGCCAACAAAATAGGTAGTAGCCGCGAACTAGTTGAATCCGATGAAGATATAGAGGACAACCCGGGGATATCTGCGTCCATGGACGTAGGTCATTTGACGAATAAAAGTAAAAATAACAGTAAATTCCTGGTAATAGCCGACAATGGAGGTGGAAATACATGAGTATACCCTATAAAAAGAGAAAGTCAGCAGGAGGCTGAGAAATGTGTGTTATCTTACTTACAAGGTAATCCCACAATAACTTCAATCAGGTCAGACAATGCAACTATGTTCACAGGAGGGGAATTTGAAACTTTCCTGGAAGAATTAGGTATCAGGCATGTACCCAGCATCCCTTATCAGTCCAACACAAACGGTGTCGCTGAAATTAGTATATACGGAAAAGACCGGTGCAAGCCGCACAAATTGTACCAGATTAACATGTACTTAAGTCAGCCGAAATTGCGTGCGAGAAACCGTAATACTAATGAGCTCCCACCTATGTTGCAGGAAGGCAACCAGGTGTGGACCAGGGACGCGAGAGAAATATTAGATATCGAAACACAAACGGGTAACATTGTAATAACAAAAGATGGCAGAAAAGTCCATCCGAAACAAATTCGATTCAAGCAAGGGGTCTCAGACAGGGGCCCCTCAGTCAGTCAAAACTAGAATGCTGAAATGGGGATCCCAACTTGGTGTAGAGAAGCAGGGGAGCGATAGTTCCTCAGAGGTTATCAGAGCTGGTAAAACAGTTCCTGATGGCCCAAAAAAGGACCCAAACAGTTCTCACCAGGCCGAACCGGACCAGGCCTACCTGACCATGGGCCTGGTAATCCTGAAATGCCATCCATCTGGTCGGCACAGGGTAGGAGTGATCTACCCAGGTCAGCCACCTAGTGCCGAACCATCTTGGAGGGATTACAGGCCGGGGGGCTGCTGCCTTTGTCACGTTGAAGTGTTCACCCTCCTATGGGAGGGTGAGAGAAGGTTCAGGAATTTGAGAAGTGATCATCAAGAACCTGATAAGGATGAAGGAGTCGAGTTGGCTGGAGCCTGCAGAGTCTCATTCTGCTCCCAATGCTGGGAAAAGTTTGGAGCTCAAACTCTCGCGACCAGACAGGACTCTCACGAGGACCCCTGCAGGTGCCGAGCAGATCCGTACTGTGGGTTTCGGATCTGCTCCCCGAATGGGACGCCCAGGCTGGAACTGGCTGGCCTGCTGGCTCATAGACACTGGAATAGATTTAATTCGTTTGATAAATTAAATTTCCTGCAGATTGCTCTAACTCATCCAATTAGAAAGAGGAATAGGTTTCTTACTTTCAAATGGTCTTTGACCACAATGGGAGTGCACGCTAAGAAGACAGCTAAACTCACGTGCGACAGTAAGAAACTGGATAGACATGGGGTGATGAGTTGGGCTCCACCGAGTGTAAGGCCTGATTGGATCGACTGGATCACAACAGGAACGATGAAGCCACTGTCCCCCATGGTCGTAACCATTAAGAGAAGGTCTAGTAATGTACAGACCCCGACGGGTCCAGAGCTGCTGCACTGTGCAGTGGAGATGCTGTCTCTGGCATCATTGGACCGTGCTCAGTACATAGATAAATGGATGAGTGGAGCAGAATTAGGAATTAACCTGATAGCTGTAGGGGTCAAACTCTGGATTAGAGGAAATCTGATTAATACCGAGAATAGCGATGCCCTCGAAGTAGGCCCAAGGGTCAGCAAGTCGGCATGGTGGAAAAAGAGTCATCACGACTAGGCGTATCGAGTTTAGGAGATAGGGGGAAGCAAGGAGCAGAGGGGGAATGTAACATGAATTAATGTTCTGCTCCTTCCTTCCAGGAAAAGCTATGGGATTGTCTGCCGTAGAAAAAATCAATAGATGGTGGTACAAGAAATGGTACCACAACCAAGCTAGGTTAGCACTGGCACAAGCAGACATTGCTGAAGATACCCTAGGAGGAGATGCAATGGAAATAATTAGGAAAGATATAAAGAGGAGAAAATACAAACAAAAATTCAAGAAAGAACTAAAACAGCTTAGGAAACCTAGTACCATAATTAGAGTTATAATAGCAATAATAATAATAGCATTACTCTCTGCCCTTATCCATGTGATCAGTAAAATACCCGATACGGGGGCAGAAAGGGCAACCTGGAGACAAAAAATCATAAAATGTAAAAATTGCACAATAATAACCCCACACATAGAACCAGGATATCCCATACCAATAGGAACAGGGGAGGCTTTGGCCTTCGACCAAGGAAAATACATTCTAGGAGCAATACGATTTCTAGTGATAAGGATAGGAATCAGAGGGACCTGCAATCCACAAGTATGGTTAGGAGAGGCAGCCCAAGATCAAAAAGAAAAAGAAAAAATGAACGCAACAACAGAAGACCTTCCAGGAGCACGAGAAAAGAAGACGCCGGGAACACAAGATACATGTAACCTGGAGTTTCCTGTGCCGGAGGTCGATAACTGCACCATCAAATGGATCCCCTTCAAGGGCCCTTGCTGTGAAAGACCCATGATGGAAGTTCTAAAAGAAATGTCCGAAGAAGCATATCGACAGGCCTGTCGAGCAGTGCACCTTGGATACTCCGAGGCTCACTTGTCCACGTGGGAATCCTATGAGAAAAAGTTTGGAACGGACGGATCGTCTTTTCAAGTGACTAAAGTGCTGCTAAGAGAAGAAGCATGGAGTCTTGATCTCACAGGATTGATGTACGAGACGGGTATAAAAGACTGCATATATACAGCACTGCACCAAGAAATTCGAGAAGGATGGGAGATGCAGGAACCGTTATACAGCCTGCATAAAACATGCCACAAAGTCGACGAAAGAACAGTGCTGAACATTCCAGTAAGAAAATATATCAACGACAAAGATTGGAAGACGTTTGAGAACTGGACAAATCAAGAAACCTGGGGAACAACAGGACAATTCCCCAAAGAAGAACTACCCTATCATACTGCCAAACAAGAAATACTGGCAGTAACAAGCCAGGAGGAATTAGAACAATCATGGTGGGAGAAGAACCAGGAGAAAACCACTGTGACAAGAAACCCCTGGAAGAGATCGGTGGAAACCACAGAAGCGGAAAAGCATGTGGGAAGATGCACTCTCAACAATCTAAACAATCTAAGCAGGCAGATGAAGTTCATCAGAGAAAAATTACTAGACGTAGGCATACTTACCCCGTGCCAGCATATATCTATAGAAATTGATGCGGAAAAAGTCACAGGAATGGCGTCCTAACCGTTCTCAACCAATGGCGAAAATTGCACTCTGTATCTGAACAATATAGCTACACTCCCTTAATCGAAAGAATTGGACTGCCGAAGGTTGGACTACCATCGCGGAAACAAAGCAACAGTTTGTGAATAACACAAGTGCCATCGCATCAGCAATACAACTCCTGATCAACAGAAAACAGAACTGTGTGAATCCGTTAGTACATTATCGAGTGGCTCACTGGCCGTATCATTCAGCACCAGTGGGACACCTTCAGGGGGTTGATCCTGGTACTCTGATGTACCACAGAATGAAGTATATCGCCCAACACGTTTGTATCAGAGATAGAATGGCTCCCCGAGTGCTGCGGGGACATGAAGACTGGGGTATAATGACTGGGCATTGGAGGTGGCATGCTCATCTCCAGGTGCACCAAGAAGATCCCTTCCATATAGACAAAAGGATACCATGTAATCATCTACAAACGTCCGGTGGAAATGGAACAGAATATAAATCCGAAGGCGAATTCTATAAGCTACACGAGTGTGATTATACCATGATTACTTCACCGTTCTGGACATTAGGAAATCAAGTAAAAGGAATAGCCATCCTAACGACCTTTGCCACAGGGACCGTGATAAATGGAGTGGCTACAGAGGTGGCCACAGCTGTGGTCACAACAGCTAAGACAGTTGGTCGGGCCATCTTTGGAGCATGGGAGTGGCTGATAGATTGGCTCAGCTGTGCATGGCGTTAGATCGTAGGCATAGTTGTGGTTATAGTCACTGTAATAATAATAGGGATACTACAGAGAACCTGCAAGGTCTTCAGGCTTTGTTGGGTCCCCTTTCGGGCCTATAGGAAAGCGAGGCAGAAAAGAGAAGACAGACTCCTAAAAGAGACAATTAAAGAGTTAAGAGAAGAGATACTGGAGAAGAAGAAAGAGAAGAAAACAAAAAGAGGAAAAGAAACAGTGAAGCAAAGAAGGAATATCATGAGTAACAAAGACCCTTTGATGCAGGTTTGACTATGAAGAGATCAGCTGAAGGGACAAAGGAAAGAGGAGTGAAGAAGCCAACTACCGGGGACAACAAGAATTTGATTGTGCTTTCAGTAACATTACTTATGGTAGTTATATATGGGATTATCGGCTGTGAAACTGAAAGCTATGAACGCAAAGAAACTGTAATTAACGGAACGGTGTGCAGAGAAGAATCTTTGAGAAGAATGTCCTACTGGGTCCTGGTTTCAATTACCAGAAATTGCTGTCTGGCAGGCGCGAATGAGGAATGCGTTCTCCAGCGGGAAGATCAGAAAGCGGGACCGGGAAAATGGCGGGTCGTTTGGACATGCCACATGAACAAAGAAGGGACATGGAAAGATTCGGTCCAGATGGTCAGCCTCCCAGGGGACTACTTGGGAGAACTGCACACGGCGTCGGATGAGTCGCATTTTAATATAGATAGAATCGGGTGGTATAAGACCATTATCTTAGGATTAGTTATGACAATACTGGTAGCGGGAATAGCGGTTGACCTTATAAGGAAATTAGCGGTCAAGGAGGAGGAGGGGGTGATGCCACCGATGGTGGGAGGAGCCTGTTCATGGGTATAAGAGAAGGGACGCGAGAGGGGTTGGTCATTCTTCTCTGGAAGAAACCACCTGTCACGCTGTACCAATCTCTTCGTCCAGGGACGGCTCCGAGAACCATGGCTGGCTTCACCAACTTCACCCTAGGACTTGGCTGTCCATCATCGGTAATTATGACTGAATCATGGCAGCTAATCTCCCTGGGAATTCTAATCCTCCTTCTGACTTTGTTACCTAGAGAGAAGAATGTAGGCTGGATTAGGGTGGCAATGACCTCCGCGTTAGTCATAGGAACGGGAGTGGTGAGATTGATGTATTTATGCATTAGTCCCATTCACACCCAGATTGTATTGGCGTTTCTGGCTCATCTGCCACTACCGATTAACACTAATCGGTGGTGGATGATGATACTTTCAATTTATGCTCTCGGTACGGTTTACACAGCACTTCTAGAACGAGTTGTAGATCAAGCCCTGCACAGTGCCTTGGCTGCAGAGCTTGTAGGGCTGGTGATATACTTAATTTTAGGTCTTATAGCGCTTTTCTGGTTTTTCCTGCAATTGAAAGGAAAGAACAGAAGGGCTTGTCTAAATTTAGGGGCTCAATGGCTGGTCACACTGGCGTTAACGGCAGTGATGGTCGGCTGTGGAATATCAACTCACCCTATCATGTATGGATATGTAGGGTAGATAGTGGGAGTGGCCTATAGAAGGGTCCTGTTTCCACTTAATAGACAGCTTTCCGGCAGCTTTAGGTTGACTACGCCTAGTGCTACTAGGCGTGAGTCTTCAAGCACATAGAAATTAAAGCTTAATAAATAAATAAATAAAAGGAAAAATAATAATAGAAATAGAATCCCCGGGGAGATGAGAGTTAGGGTAGGGTTTGGAAACATGACTAATTATATCCAAATTGACCTTACAGATGGGGAAACGAATCTCCACTCTCACCTTTGATAACATCCCCAAGGGAACAAGAGTTAGCAGACAGCCAACAGAACAAATGTATTGGCTGGATATAGATATCAAACCATCTCATTTGGGGAGAGGGGTTCGATTGGAGAGCTACCCGACCGGGGCTTTCTCCCCTATAATGAGAGCGCAAATTGAAAAGAAGTACCAAAAGTGGGTTAATATCAAGCCACATAGCTCCAGGAAGGCTATTGCATTGGTACAGGATGAACTTGTTCTTTGCAATGGGCTTCAGAAGGGGGCATTTAAAGGTACCTTTGTGCAAACCAAGGGTATCCTTGTAGAAACTAAGAAAGGGCTCAAATGTGTAGTTATGAGCCTAGATAGTAAGGGCCTGCCATACTCATTAGTGGAACGTGACCTACATTGGCATCCTGGTCACATTGGCTTGACAGTGATTAAGGAGGGCTAAAGCCTTATACGCAAAGATCTGATGGGCGTAGCCATGGTGGAGCTGGTGGAGCTGAGACTGATGGACTGGAAGATGAAGGAGCCATTCACGCTGAGAGGACAACGCATCTTCACGGCGCATGAGTTTCCAAGCTGCTCCTTTGCTGACCTGGAGCACGAAGGCGGTAACATCGGTCGTGCTCTGCAGGGACCAATCGGCGGTGCAGCATGACCAGAGGATCGGACTGCACCGTGAAGCTGAGGCCTGTGATGGTGCACGGGCAGTTGGTGTGCTTGCCCTCTGTCATTACAAGCAAGGTGGGACTGCCTTGGTCTGAGGGCCCACTGGATTACCAGGGCAAAGGTGTACCAGCATGGAGAAGCCACATCACTGCGGGCGAAATCGACGCCTACAACGGGCACCTGATCATCACTACTGCCAGGAGAGCCGAGGAGCTGTCGGCCCTAGGGGACGCCCATGCTAGGGCAGGCCCCCCAGTAATCAAGACTGAACCTGTGGAGCATGCAATCGAACTGAGGAGAGCCAGGCCTGTCGATCGAGCCACAGACCCGAGAAGAGCCGCTCGTAAATGGGAGGCAACTCTCAAGAAGAATAGGGGCTCCCCTCACACTGTCCCTGCTGGGAGGTCAGGAGACTTCCACGGGATCATCCCTACTAAAGAGCCAAGGGGATCCCACCATCCGATTAGCGATGTTAAGCCAAGACTTCAACGAAAGTCCCCAGTTAAGAAGCCGAGGGACTGTGACGGTATCCATGGTAACTTGAGTAAAGAACTTCTCCGGATGCTTGCTGCTGAGGGACGGCATGGACCAGGGCGCGTCTACCCCGAGAGGAGCCCAAGGGATTCTTCTTATCCCTTTGCTGATAAAAAGGCCAGGGGCTCTCCATACCCCGCCCCTGCTAAGAGGGTGAGGCATGATTCCATGGACATTTCAATGAACTTTGAGAGGCAGGTTTCAGTTGTCCAGCCGATGCCTAAGCTGGATGAAGAACCTCACTTTAACTTCCGAGGCCCGGTTCCATCGCCAACACCTCCGATCCCTGAGCCTCTGGTGTGCTCCAATAGAAGATGAGGTGTCCCCTGATGTGGTTATGGCATTGCCTGAACCTGAGGCTATGAACGTTACGGTGCTTGAGTCTGAGGTCCCAATGGTAGCCGATGCTATGGCCCCCCCTGAATCCGGGGAACCAATACCTGTGCAGTTCACTGACCTCATACCCTCCTATGGCTATGAGGACTTCATGAGGGAGTTTAACCGGCTGCTGGAGGAAGAGTGCCCGGAGTTAACTCTGCCGGAGCCTGTAGCTTACGGATCGAAGCGGCTCCCTGAGGACTCTGAATAGTGGACGTTATGTGATTTTCCTTAAGTTTCAAAAGGAGGATGTAATACAAAATATGATTTTGTGATGTAATACAAAAGAACATTTTATAATCATGTGTGAAACGTAAGGAAAATGCGTTAAATAGTGATCTTGATGGTCAGTAATGTGATTTAATAAAATGTAATGTGATTTAAGGTGATTTATGTAACATTATGCTAACTAGATTAAAGTTCATTTAAGTGTGTTAAAGTTCACGGCAAGGAAAGATCATATATGCTTAAGAACTGGGCCAAAGTTCAAGTAACTGGGTAAAAGTTCATTCCTTTGCGCAGCCTCGGTGCTAACTGGAGGAAAGTTCAAATAACTGGGTAAAAGTTCATTTCTCTGCGCAGCCTCTGTGCTATCTAGGGGAAAGTTTAAATAACTGGGGGACAGTTCATACGAGCAGGAGGACCAAATATGTACATCCTTCCTGCCATGACCATATATGCATTTCCTTCCTTGCCCATATATGTACATCTACTTCCTGAATGAGGTCATCCTTAATGCTAAGGGGGCTTTCCGCTGCTCGAAGGCTGCATGCGCTATAAAAAGGAAGACTCCGAGAGAGTCAGACAGTCGGGCAGCGCGCAGCGCAGACGAGGGCAGCCGGAGGCTTTCATTCAGGGGTCCTTGTGAGAGAGACTTGTGGCGCGAGACCTTTGTAACTCTGTAAACTTGGATTGACGATTTGCTTGCTTGGCTTTGAATAAAAGAGTCGCCCCGACTCACGAAAGACAACTCGCCGACTCCGCTTCACACTTTCTGAAAACCTTCCTTGAAGAACGCTTGGACAGGGCAGGGCGGCCCCAGGCTAAGGTGAGTAGTAAAAGTAGACTGATTTTGGTATATCGCACCTAGAGCTTCTGCTTCTCTACGGATTAGCCACACCAAGGGGAAAAACGTTAGGCAGGGACAAAAACTTAGCTAGCCTTAGACCCAGCACGAGGCAGGTCGGGACTAGCGCTACCGAAAGCCAGGCCCTACTAGGGAGTCTGCGTTATAGAGCAAGGTAAAGGCGCCTCCTAGGGTTAGATCCTGAAGAGACGCTGGTTCCTCACTCGCTCCGATTACAGTTGTCTTCTGTGTTTTCTTCTCCTTGTTTCTAGAAAGGGACTTTATGCAGTGTGTGTCGCAGCAGAAGCACAGTCGTTAACACTAAAGCGAGAGCTTCGACCCCTACAACTATGTCATCAATGTTCTGACCAATCAGAGGCGTTCATATTGAAAACTCATTTTACTGATTTATTCATTATCTCTAGCATAAAAACACATTATTGTGGTGGGAAACGCATGTTTGTAATATGTTTTATATATAAAAAAAATAGTTTTTTAATAAGGATAGTTCCCTTTGAAGCATATAATCATCAAAATCAATATCAGTGTAGTGGATTTTACTGATTCTATACTGGGGGAAAAAAATAAAAAATAGAACTAAAAATAAAATAAAATGAAAATAATAAATTATAATTATCATCATGTAATCATACATTTAGCCAATTTCTCAAATCAAACAATTCAAAACAAACAAAAACAAAACCTATTGGACACGAGAACTCAACAGCATCAGCCAAAGAACAGACAGAAACGAGTTGAGTCGCAGATTAGAAGCTTATTTAACTTTACTTACTTAATACTTAAGCACTGATGACTGCTGTCGTTGTGTCCTTGGGCAAGACACTTAACCCCACTTTGCCTGAATCCCCCACTGAAAGATCTCAGCTCCTGTGGACTCGCCACCTGCAGGAGGATCAGTGAGAGGCTGGTGCTCAGTGTACTGGGTGGCATCTCTGGCCACCCCCCCGACCCAGAAATGAATTAAGGGGAAGAAAATGGATGGATGGATGGATACTAAATACTTTTATTCTGATGCTAATTGTTTTCATATACTTAAGTCATTTCACTGTATTGTTTTCACTATTTAATCTTATGCTATGTACTAGTACTTTTATTATTCACTGCTAGTTTTAATAACTGTTCTGATTGTTCAGGAACCCTATTTAAAAATATGTTTGCATTTTTGTTGAGCCATATTCTTAAACATACATTTTAATCTAATAAATCTCTCTGTACTATAGTCTACCTTCATTATCAGAGTCAGAATCAGAATCATTTTTATTGCCACGTAAGTAACAGGAAGTCACAGACTTGGAAATAGCTTTGGCTCCGTGCAACAGTCAGAAAGAGATAATAAAAATAAAGAATAAAAAACACTTCTAAAGAATGAATTTAAATTTAAAATAGAGTTACAGTTACTATTTACAATAAACAAGTGCACATGGTGCACACAATGTAAGGTGACAGCAGTACAGTGAAGTAAAGTGACGTATGATGGGCAGTAAAGTGACTTTATAAAGGGCGGGGGGACAGGTTAAGAAGTGTTCGAGAGTCCAACAGCAGAGGGGAAGAAACTGTTCTTGTGGCGGGAGGTTCTAGTCCTGATGGACCGCAGCCTCCTGCCTGAGGGGAGTGGTTGGAATAGTCCATGTGCAGGGTGAGAGGAGTCGGCTGTGATACGACCAGCCCGGCCTCGAGCTCGGGCGACGTACAGGTCCTGTATCGATGGAAGACTGCGGCCGCCCGATCACTTCCTCTGCAGAGCGCACAATGCGCTGTAGTCTCTTTTTGTCCCTGACTGTGTCTCCAGCGAACCACACGGTGATGGAGGAGGTGAGGATGGACTCGATGATGGCCATGTAGAACTGCACCAACATCTGTGCAGGCAGCTTGGCTTTCCTGAGCTGCCGCAGGAAGTACATCCTCTGCTGGGCCTTCTTGATGAGGGAGCTGATGGTCGGCTCCCACTTGAGGTCCTGGGTGATGGTGGTGCCCAGGAAACGGAAGGACTCCACAGAGGTGATGGGGGAGTCCATCACGGAGGGTGGGGGCGGGGGGACAGTGCTCTTCCTGAAGTCCACAATCATCTCCACTGTCTTCTGGGCGTTCAGCTCCAGGTTGTTACCATTGCACCAGGACACCAGCCGGTCCACCTCCCTCCTGTAGGCGGACTCATCGTTGTTGGAGATGAGTCCAATGAGGGTGGTGTCGTCCGCGAACTTGATCAACTTCACGGAGTCAAGGGCTGGAGGTGCAGTGGTTGGTGTACAGGGAGAAGAGCAGGGGAGAAAGAACACAGCCCTGTGGGGCTCCTGTATTTATAATCCGAGAGTCCGAGACATTCTTCCCCAGACGCACTCGTTGCTTCCTGTCTGTCAGGAAGTCAGTGATCCACCTGCAGGTGGAATCGGGCACGTTGAGCTGGGAGAGCTTGTCCTGGAGCAGGGATGGCAGGATTGTGTTGAAGGCAGAGCTGAAGTCCACGAACAGGACCCTGGCGTAGGTCCCCGGGGAGTCCAGGTGCTGTAGGATGTGGTGGAGGGCCAGGTTAATGGCGTCGTCTACAGATCTGTTGGCTCTGTAGGCGAACTGCAGGGGGTCCAGGAGGGGGGAGGTGAAGGACTTGAGATGGGAGAGGACCAGGCGTTCAAATGACTTCATGACGACAGACGTAAGTGCTACAGGTCTGTAGTCGTTGAGTCCTGTGATCCTGGGCTTCTTCGAGACGGGGACAATGATGGAGGATTTGAAGCAGGCCGGGATATGGCAGGACTGCAGAGAGGTGTTGAAAATGTCAGTGAACACAGGAGTAAGCTCACTGGCACAGTGTCTCAGAGTGGCCGGAGACACGTGGTCCGGGCCAGGAGCTTTGCGGGGGTGCAGCCTCAAGAAGAGTTGTTTAATCTCTTTAGAGGCTATTGTTAGGCTGGGGGCAGGGCTGATGGGTGGGTCGTTAGAGTAGTGGGGGGTGGGGGAGGGAGAGGTGTCAGGGGCAGCATCAAAGCGACTGAAAAATAAGCTAGCTTGTGGTCGTCAGCACAGGGGGGGGCTTTGGGCTTGTAGTTGGTGATCTCCTGTAGGCCCCTCCAGACAGAAGCAGTATCGTTGTTACCAAACTGCTCCTGCAGTCGTTCTCTGTGCCGGGACTTGGCTGCTTTCAGTTCTTTCCTGAACTGATATTTAGCTGCTTTGTAGCCGCTGCGGTCCCCCTCCCTGAAAGCAGACTCCTTTGCTTTCCTGAGCTGCCGGAGTTTAGCAGTGAACCAGGGTTTGTCATTGTTATAGATGACCCTGGTCCTTGTTGGAATGATGCTATCCTCACAGAAGTCAATGTATGACGTCACAGTGTCCGTGTATTCATCCAAACTATCTGTGGCAGCTCTGAAAAGGTCCCAGTCTGTGGATTCCATGCATGCGCGCAACTCTTCCACAGCTTCATCAGACCACACTTTGGAGCTCCTCACTGCAGGTTTCGAGAGCTTTAGTCTCTGTCTGTAAGTAGGAACCAGATGAATCATGGAGTGATCTGAGAAGCCGAGGGCTGGCTTGGGAACAGCTTTTGAACTTTTAAAATGTATTCTATTCTGTACTTTTATACTGTGTGCGGTGTAATTAGTCTATTGTAAGGCCTCCTTCAGTTTCTTGAAAGGCGCCATGGAATAAAATGAAACTATATTAAAATCTCTGTAAAAATAAAAATGAATTTGGAAAAATATTAAGACAACATTTATTAAATCAAAACAAAAGATTAACTAATCTAGGTATCTATCTAGGAGATAATTTCTATTTTACTTCTGAAGATTTGGAAAAATGAGATTAATCCCTTTTAGGTATTTGTACTTTACACTTAAATATTTATATCAATATAAATTTCAGACCAGTCTCCTGTGGGCCTGTGCTGTGAGCTGCAGCAAGGTCAGTGCCTAGCCAAAACATTGCACGATCAGGATAAGGATCAGGATAACGATCAGGATAAAGATCAGGATAACCATATAAGGATCAGGATAAGGATCAGGATAACCATTAAAGCTTGCATGAAGCATGCGCCTGTGAACGAGACTATCGCGAGACGATGCGAGACCCAATGGCGTTAGCCGGCAACTAGACTGCTAACAAACAAACAAAGGTAATCACTCATCTACCTT